GTTAGGTGGTTGTACAGTTGACCCTTGAATAATGCAGGGGATAGAAGTACTGACCACCCCTTACAGTCAAAAACACGTATAACTTTCAATACCCCCAAACTTGGCTGCTGATAGCCTACTGTTGACTGAAACCTTACCAATAACACAAACATTTGATTAACATATATATTGTATGTTATATGTATTTATACTGCATTCTCACAATAAAGTAAGCTAGAGCAAATATTATTAAGAAAACCATAAGAAAAAGATACATTTACAGTACTATCCTGTATCTATCAGAAGAAATCCACATATAAGTGGGGACCTGCACAGTTCAAACTTATGTTGTTCAACTATGTATTTCTTTGTTCTTCTGATGTGCAAATACATATATAGTGTGGCTGAGTATAATTTTCTTTATATCTGTTTCCACTTGCAAGATTCTTATCTAAAGAATACCAAAACCAGTTGTGCTATTTCAGTTGGAGAATGTTGGTGGCTTGGGCCAGGGTGACTGTGGGAGTGTGGAGCGAGGGAGGGAAGGGATGAAAGGTCAGAGGGGGAGAGGGGGCAGCAAGAAGGGGTCAGATTCTGGATATATTCTGAAGGCAGAACCAAAAGGATCTTTTGGCAGACCAGATGAGAAGTATAAGAGGCAGAGAGGAGAAATGAAGAAAATCAATTGTCCTAGTGTGTTAGTGGTAAATGTGTTTTCATCACTAACAAGAATGAAGATTAGGTGATAACATTAATTTGTCGGTGACTCATTCAACAAGGATTGTCCAGTGTCTTTTCAGTGCTGCAGACACATCGGTGACCAGGATGGGCAGCTCTTCAGGAGTTTACGTTCTCGAGAGTAGAGACAAATTATATATATATGAGATGATGATAAGTGCTAAATGCATGGGGCAGGGTGCAGACATGGAAGGAGAATAGAGAGGACCAGGGAAATTCATATGTGGTTAGTTCTTAGGGCTTATTAAATAATATCGGGGATTTATTCCTGCATCTGTTTCTAACAGCTTGATATTGGGAAATATATTCATTTTATCAATTTGACTACCAATACAATAGAATATGGGTCACATACTTAGTATTTCTAGATTTATTATAGTATTGGAAAGAAGAATGAAGAATGGCGCCCAGGATAATTGTAGTGTGCTCCCTGAGCACACGTACAGTGTTACCCATGAAGATAACAGAATATTTGAATAATGAGTAGCAAAGTACTTGCTTAGACAGTAGTCACTGCAGACAATTGGGTTTAGGTATCTACATAGCATCACCTCTATTTAACCTACTCAGGTTGTCCTCATTAGGGCTTTTCACTTAGAACACCATTATAGCAATCATATACTGTATTTTTAGCATCTTATATAAACTTCCCTACAAATGCCCAAGTTATATAACCACCCCCCCACCCAGACTTTTCTCCAGCCTCTCAGAGACTTACAGTAGGGGCGAGGACATGTGCGTGGTGGGAGATCCCTGTTCTGGGATGGAAAATGCTCACGTCCCAGAGGCTGGTTCCCTCTTCCCTGGACGGGGCTGGGTGTGTATCCGCAAAATGTGCTTCCTGATACCCCCTTCTTCTATTCTCAGCCTTGCCTCTGCTGTTACATTTTCATGTAACAGGTGTCACGTTGCTGTGTTCCTGAGCTTGGAAGGCTCTCTGCCTCCTGTCAGTTGTGTTCCAACAAACGCCTGGGGCTCAGCTCCAGAGGCAGAGGCACCTGAGAGATGGTTCTAGTTCCCTCATTTCACAGATGGTAAATGAGGCTCAGGGAGGCCGGCTGACTTCCTCCCAGAGAGAGAGCACAAAAATGGGCAGCCCCAGGTTCCCGGATTGCCCCTCCGGCCGGACTTCCATTAAACCAGGAGTTTTGCAGATCTTAGTGTTCTCATACACATAAAATAAGGGCTATGTGAGAGGTGGTCTCTGAAGACCCTTTCATCTGTGCATTATGGTCAGATATGCTACTGGGTGTGTACAGATTATATTGGACGTTCGAGTTTACTGTGTTCCATGCAATGGCTAGAATGTTACCAGGAAGAGGACATAATTTTTCTTGGCTCTTTAAAGCTTAAATTCAGTTTTTCTTTTTTAATGGTAAGAATGTGAAGAAACAAATGGTAAATTCACCCACGAAAAAAAAAAAAAAAAAAAAGGAAAAAAAAAGAGGCTCAAATACACATCTTCAGCTGACTCATGTCCAGGAAAAGCACTATGTTACGTTATTCTTAAATAGGAGTTTACCTAACTATATCAGGAAAAGTCTCCTTCTGGTGTGGCTGAGGGGGGGAGGGCAGGGATATGGAGGGAATGATGGTGATAAGCATTTTCCAAATTAGGAAACAGATATGCTTTTCTTCTTACTCTCTTACATAACTGATCTATTTTAGAAGACAACACTAAAAAACTGAAATGAAATACAAATCTCATGATTTTACTACTTTGTTAGCAAAGACAGAAGCAAGTAATGCTCGCAGGAAAAGAGGGGAGAGCTTCCCCCCAGTGCTCTCCTTCCTGCCAGGGAGCTGTTCTCCCCCCTCCCCTGGGGGTTCCCTCTCCTCCACTACAGCCTCCGGGTAAGCCAGACACCAAAGTCTGAATTTTACAAAATGAATGAAGAAAGGTACTCATTTTTCTCTTCTTTTAATTTAAAAGGCAGTCACATCAAAGTGCATACCTATCCTCTTTTGGTGGCACAGAATGATGGAAGACTGACCTGTCTACAGCCGGTGATTGTTTTGCCCCAGACTTCCTGTTTCAGAGGGAAATTGTGCAGCACACAAAGGCGAGAGAGGCGGTACAGCCTCTTACATAAATAAGTTACATAAATGAGAACCAGTTATGTAAATGTATAAACCAGCAAACATGAATTATAACCATTCACAAATGCCAAGGAGATCACGGCAAGATTCCTCCCACGGAACCATTTTTTTCCCCCTCTCACATTATTGTAATTGTACCATTTTATTTCACACCAGAATCAGATGTAGTTATCTGTCACATTTATTAGGGAAAGAAACTCCAAAGGACAGATGATACTTCACACTACTTTCTGAACCACACAATTTACTTTGGGGGGAAATTCCATAAGAAAACCTGATTTGAACTATATATAAGATTTATCAATTTATACCTCATGTGTAATCATGAACACATGTATTAAGTATTTACTAATGTACAGTTTGCCAGCTGCTGGAATGTATGTATCACAAAAAGTCAATGTCCATATATATATGGATATTTGTTTTACCAGTTATGGTTTCAAGTCTCAAATGAGAATGTGGGCATCTGACTAAAGTCATTTTTAATAATATTGAGGGAAGGTAGTAATATAGGGGGGCGAGGATTAAATTCAAGGTTATGCGTATGATTTAATCCCAATCTTCCCCACCTCAAATGATTTAGGAGTTGCTCCTTGTTTCTTGGCTACAGTTTCAGGTGCGGTGTGAATGGTAAATGAGCCTGTTCCCTCTGCACCCTGTCAGGAGTGGGAACCTTAGCTTTTCCTCAGCTAGCTTTTTCCTTGTTCCTTTTGGGGCAATATAGCTGCATCTTTTCTGAAGTTACAGAATTTGCTCATTGTGTAGTAAAAACATATGTAACTCAAAAAGCAGTTTTGAGCCTAACTGCCTGTTCCATATAAAGAAGGATGCTAATTAAACCTTTGCCAATTTCAGGCATAGCAGGCTCAGGTTAACATTTCATTTACCAACTTCCTTGATTTTGAAAATCTTGTGTAATATATTTCTAAGATCTAACATAGTAACCTAACAGTGAAATGAGAGTAGGAAGCAGAGCCTCTGTATATTATTAGCTGTGTGATTTGGGGCAGGTAACCTTCCCTCTGGGCCATTGCTTCTAACCATCTGAAAAAGGATGAAAGTTCTAAGTCACTTCCAGCAGTAACAATCTAGTGGCCTCTAATCAAATCTGTATTTTTAGCTGAGAGCTTTAAACTCTGACATCACGTTTAAAGGAAATATAGTCCGTTATATAAAACCCAGATCTTTTTTTTTTTCTTTCTTCCATTGGCAGTACTGCAGACCCTGCTTGGGTTGTAGTGTTATTGTGACTGACATATGAAAACTATTTTATCTTGGTGGTTTCTTTTTAAAAATGTCAAATATGGGGCTTAGCCAGCTTTACAGCGTTGAATGAGATGTGAGGAGTACCATCTGACACCTTGGGAACTTGTGGGCTTCCTTCCTGGAAGTGGGGGTGTTTTAAAAGGGAAAGGTCTCAGTAACTTGCCACTGGAGGGAGTCGGCTCAGGAACGTGGATGGGGTCATTTCGTCTTTAAAGTTGACCTGGCCTAGACTTGAGGAGGCACTAAGTCATCAGACCGACTTTGCGCGTTCTTAGGTCCTCTGCCTCTACATGTCCATCTGTAACTTGGGTGTAAAGAAAATGCAGACCTGCACCTGACATCTTCACCGGGAAGCTCCCACCGGCCAGGAAGAGAGGGCGGGTCCCCACTCAGGACGCTGGCCATGTCAGGGGAGTGCTGGCGATCTGGGCTTTAGTCCCGGGAGGCCAGCCGCCGGCAGAAAAGTACCGACCAGGCAGGCATTAGGCGAGAAGCCTCGGCAGGTGAGCGTATGCGTCCAGCAGAAAGGCGAGGTGGGTGGAGGCCCGGGCTCCTAGGGGCTTTGTTCAATTACAAGCCAGGCCCCTGTTTCGGGAGAAGCCAATTAGATCCCCGCTGGGGGATCATCTGACCTCGGGTTCCTCCCCAGGAGGGGCTTCGGAAGGGGCGGGGCCAGGCTGTAGGCTCCTCCGGGACCCGGGGCGCAGGCCGTGCGGGGGAGTCCCGGGCGCTTCAGCGAAGCTCCGCCCCGCCCCGCGCCCGCCAGGCCCCGCCCCCGGGGCTTCCCGGGCGCGCGCCGCCCCGCTGTGTCCGCGCGCCACGCCCCCCAGCTCGCGGGCCGCGTGCGGAGCCGCGCGCCCCGGAGGCTCCGCGACCGTGGCGGCGGGCGGCGGCGGCGGAGCAGCCCTCCGCGGGCCATGTCTTCTCCGGACGTGGCGAGGAGCTCCCCAGGAGGGAGCCGGGAGATGGCCCCCACGCCGCGGAGCCGGGGCCGGTTCTGGGAAGTGGGCAGCGGCAACCGGCTGGAGCGCGCGGCGGCGGAGTCGGATCGCTGGGAGCTGCTGCTCCGCCGCGGCGAGCTGCTGGCGCTGGGCGGCCACCTGAAGGGAGCGCTGGAGGCGTACGCGGCGGCGCTGCGCCGCGGGGCCCCGGTCAGGCCCGAGTGCCTCGGCACCCTGGTGGACTGCCTGGTGCTCAACTACCGGCTCCGCCACGGGCTGGGCTGGAGCGCGACCCTGGCAGCGGGCGCAGACCTCGGTGCCGGCGGGCTGCTCAGCTGCCTGGGCTGCCGGGGCTTCCTGAGTGAGCCGGTGACCGTGCCCTGTGGCCACAGCTACTGCCGTCGCTGCCTGCGGAGAGAGCTCCGTGCCCGCTGCCGCCTCTGCCGGGACCGGCTGCCGCCTGCCGCCGCCACTGATGCTGAGGGCACCACCCCGCGGCCGCCGCCACTGGCCGCCGCCATCGCCGCCTCGGGCTTCAGAACCAGCGTCGTCCTCAACCACCTGGCCGAGAAGTGGTTCCCGGGCCAGCGGGAGCGAGCCCGCGCGGCTGGCCGGCTCGGGGAGCTGCTGCACCAGGGGCGCTACCGGGAGGCCCTGGCCGCCGCCTGCGAGGCGCTGCGAGCAGGTGACCGCGCGGGGATGCGGCGTGGGCCCGACCGACCCCACCCTCCTTTCCCCGACGGCCCGGCTACCCGGAGCTCGTCTGCGCCCCAGGGAGGCTTCGCTGCCTCCCCGAGGCCGCCTGACTCCCGCTTGTAGGGTTTCGGGGTCCTGGACGGTGTGGGAGGGGGCGGCGCCCCGGGGTGCTTCGGTCACAATGGGGATCGCCTTCCGAGCCGAGTGTGACGCGGCGCGGGGAGGGGCGCACAGGCTCGGGGTTCCCTCGGCCGCGGCCTTGCGGTCTGGAGGGAGCGTCCCGAGCGGAGCGGGTGGTCGGGGCGAGGCCGCGGGAGCGCGGGATGGGCTGGAAGTTGGGCGAGCCGGAGCGACCGCTCGCTTCCTGCCGCGCTCTTTCCTGTAATTGGCCCGCCAGGCCGGGCCGGGCCGGGTCCGCCGCGGGCACACGACAGCCGGGGCGGGGAGAGGATCCCTCCGGCCGAGGCTAGGCGTGCAACGTTTACGGTCGTACCCCACAAAAGTCACTGGGGCAATTGGAAGCCGCGGGAGGGCAGAATTGCATAAGCTGGGTGGGGGGGGGTTGTGTAACGGGTGACGTCCGGTGGGCGTGGCGGGAGCTCGGCGCCGGCACCCAGCTCCGGGAGGCCCCGCCGGCCACTGGGCTTGGGGCGGGTGTCGGAGCTGCTCGGGGGTGTCCAGGCTTACCTGAAAACGACGGTTTACCTCTATTCCCAGATCATACTTATTTCGTAAACACACGTGGCTTACTTTTCGAATACCCCTAGTTTCACGGTCAAGATGAAGAGGTAGTCTCTGATGAGTTCTTAGACACCCTTGTTTGCCCTTCCACACTTGATCAAGATGTGGGGAAAAGCCTTTTAGATCTTTGGTCTGTTTCTTCTCCAAGAAGCAGCTTCGGCTTCCTAACCTAGGTTAGCACTTTTAAGATGGTTTTAGACTGTGGAAGGGGACACTGCCAGACTCTTCTAGGGAGAATAAAGAGTTCTATAAATCGGTGGTTCCCCCACCCCGGGGGGCGGGGATTTTACCCCCCGGGGGGCATTATCTAGAGCGGTGTCTGGTAATACCTGGAGACATTTTTGATTGCCACGGATTGTGGGAGTAGTGCTGGTACATCTCGTGGGTAGGGGCTGGGGATGCTGCTAAACATTGGAGAGAGCACCGGACAGCCTCCCACACAGTTATCAGCCCCCAAATGTCAACAGTGTCACTGTTACATCTTGTGTTAAATAAGCCTATTTCAAAATTGGTGTCTTTATTGGCATGAAATAATGCTGGAGAGAATAATCCTGGAGAAAGACATCTAAAATATAAACTGCTATTATGTATCAGGTAAATTTATAAACTGTTTAACTGAAACTCTCTTTTTTGTGGGTTTTTTTTTTTATCCTAAGTGCTTAGTCATTTCGAATAGTGACAGTATATTATTTAATAATACCTTTAGAGTTCAAAACATAAACTTGGCATATTTTCATAGTCTTTCAGAATCTTTATGGGAAGTGTAGGCAGTTATAAAATGGAGTAGAATGATAGACCCAGAACAAAAGAGAACTAGTTGGAATACAAAATTCTGATATAGACAGCTCTGCCTTTCTGGGTAGTTTGAGTGAGGAAGTGCAGATCATCTAGGCCTTGGTCCTCATTTTTAAAAAATGAAGCCAAAGCTAGGGCAGTGAAATGACTTGTCTACAGTCACACAGCTAGCTGGTTGTAGAGGCAACATTGTATCATCCCTTTCTCCTAACTGTTGCACCAGGGTTGGTCCTGGCTTTATAGCTCAACCATTGAAAATGTTTAACCAATTCCCAGGGGAGTTTTCTTTGTCACTAGTATAAAATAAAGGCTGTTCTTTGTCACTAGTATAAAATAAAGGCTGAAACTTATTGATAGCACTATATGGCATTAAATACTGTACTCCATAAGAATTTAATCAGGGACTTAACAGGAATTCAGGTCTGAGTCTACAGAACAGTGAACACATTACTAATTTAAGGTTTGGCTTAATGTTCTATAACCAGTAATCTTTTAATTAAGGAAGATTTGGGCCTTGGATTGAGGATATTATTTTTAACTGAAAAAAACCCATATCTGCTTTCCTTTTGTAAAGATAATTTGCATGGTCAGCACATGGGAATTTTGCCTGTTCAGCCACTTAAATCTTTCTTGTGTGGAACTAGAACTCAAGTCTTCGTTCACCTCATTAACCTATTTTTCCCTCTTCTGAGGTCTTTGAAAAATCATTAATTTCATACTCAACATAGGGGAAAAAAATCTTAAGAGTTTAACAAATTATAGTTGGTGAAATATAGATATCGAGTGTCCTAACAATTTATGGAGGTGAATAAAAATGTTCAGTAGAGTTATAAATCTGTAGTTAGGCTTTAACTTTTTCAGTGTCAGCTAGTTAACTAGATGGGTGTTTTAAATGTGTTTATATAATTGTACAGTTGTAGCTCCCCATGCTACTTTTCATTATTGAAAGACCTTCACTGAAATTTCTTTTTAGAATTCTTATCATGAAAAACTAAATACTATTAACCAGAAAAAGAATCTAGTCTGCAGTTAGCCCACACCTGTTCCAATTTATCCCTGTTGAAAAGAAAAGAAGGCTTGAAAACCTTTTTCCAAAATCAGAAGTTTCCCATTGAGATTACATAACTTTCTGTTGAATTGAAATATATTTAGATAACATTTAATCTATTGATCTTTTGGTATTATCTCAGATGTTTCATAACTTTCTGTCTCTTTAGTTTAGGGCTATTGTGTAAAAGTCTCTTCTGTGTTGAGTCTTTATACTTATTGAAATTATCCGAGTTTGCTATGCTGTTTTTCCTTTAATTTTTAATGAATTTTTACACTGACTTGCCTCCTTCCCATATATACCCCTCTCTCCCAAAAGAAGACAAAAGAACATTGTAAATTACAGTTTGAAGTGTTCTAGTTTTTTTTTAAGAATGTCATTCAGGGGAGAACAGTTTATTTAAAATATTTGTAAATTTTTGTCTTTAGCATTAGTTATGTAGTTCTTGCATATTATCAAGCATTAAAAAAATTATTTAATCATTTGATCTTCACAAAGAATCCTGTGGAATACCCTTACCTCAGAAGGAAATTGAGGCAGCTGTCTTTCGGGTGCAGGGTGATGTAGTGGTTAAAGCTGTACATCTTGGCAGCTGACCGCCTGGCCGTGTGTCCCAGCGCAGCCCTCCACTTACTCTCTGACCTTGGGCCTGTTGTCTAATCTTACTGTTTTGGTTTCCTTATTTGAAAAGCGAGAATAATATCTGGTAGATAGATAACTTCCAGATGGATAACAGTAGGTTAACAACTACCTAGGGGTGTTAGGAGAACTGAGATGTAAAATGCTTTGAATGGTGCCTGACAGAGTAATGCCTAGCAAATATTAGTTAAAAAATTTTAGGGGTGCCTGGGTGGCTCAGTGGGTTGGGCATCTGCCTTATGCTCAGGTCGTGATCTCAGGGTCCTCGGATCCAGCTCCTAATTGGGGAGCTGGGCTCCCTGCTTCTCCCCCTGCCCCCTCCTCCCCCTGCTCATGCTCTCTCTCAGGCTCTTGCTTTCTCTCAAATAAAATCTTTTTTTTTTTTTTAAGATTTTATTTATTTATTTGACAGAGAGAGATCACAAGTAAGCAGAGAGGCAGGCAGAGAGAGAGGAGGAAGCAGGCTCCCCACCGAGCAGAGAGCCTGATGCGGGACTCGATCCCAGGACCCCGGGATCATGACCTGAGCCAAAGGCAGAGGCTTTAACCCACTAAAGCCACCCAGACGCCCCTCAAATAAAATCTTTAAAAAATATATTTTTTAAATGTAAAAGCTGTGCTGCAACTAGATGATATAGCTACAATTAAAATGTAACTTTTATGACATCAAGTCCTGTTCTTTTCTCTCTCCCACATTAATAATATTACCAGAGTGAGAGTTAAATCCGGATTCTAGCCTATATATGTGAGTTAGTAGTGACATTTTAGCATCCATCAATAAAGTACAGATCCTGAAAGGCTTTAGTTATAAAAAGATGAGCCAAATTGTAGGTAAATGCTGAATACACTTACAGAAAATGTAAAGGTGTTTAATATCTTAACTAGGTTAAGGTGAAGAGATTTAAATTGATTTAATCAGTAAACCTAGTATGTCCTAACTTAATCTGTAAAACACCTGAAACAGTAAACATTGACATTTATTTGGTGTTTCATAGTGCACAAAATATTTTCTTTTCCATTATCTTAACTGATCGTTAAAAAAGATCATGTGAGGTAGGAGGGCAACTTGAGCATTCCTAGCTCAGAGACTGAAGAAGAGAGCTCCAAGAATTTTAAGTGCCTTTCTTGAGGCAAGTAAATAAGCAAGTTAGAACTGAAAGCAGAAGTACCCAGTGTGTGGATGTTGTTTCTAAGACTCAAATTGCTTTCAAAAATTAGCATATAAATCCTGAATCTCACGTATTCTTATCCGGCATGTTTTTACTGAGGACTTACTACATACGTGTTATGTTTTAGTTGCTGAAAATAGAGAAGTGGACAAAATAAAGACCCTGTCCTTATGGAGTTTGTTTTTTTTTTTAATTTCATTTGAAATCTCAGCAAATTGGTATTTATTGAAAAGGGGCTTGACCTCTGACAAATCGAGCCCGTATGCAGTACATTTCTGATTCACCCTTTTTTAAAATCAGAAGTCATGTTAAGAATTTTTGTGATGCCTCAGGGTCATTACAAAGACCAGTTACAGTGGCATATTCTTATTGATATAGAAGATGGGAAATCAGGTTATGTAAATATTAAGTGTTCATTTTTTTTCCTTTGTTTGTCAAACAATGCAGAATTTACCAAAATTCTTGTTATATTAGATTTCTAGTTATTTGTATATTAACCTTTGGTGTATTCAGAATTTGTTTTTCTGTGTAGTGGAATATTCTAAGAGGCTTAGATACATTCAAGTGAAAATTTAAATGGTTTTTATAGTATTCTAT